CTTTTAATTGAACTCAATTTAATTTGATTAAATTTTCTTGTTTGTTTATGTTTACATCATTTTAATTTATTTTATCACATTATTTTATCTTTCAATTAATGAATTTTGTTATATTTTTTCGGCTGTAGAATTGGAAAGATATAAATTAAATTGATAATTCATAAGGGTTTAAACTAATAAAAAAACTAAGTTTCACTAAAAAAGTATTTAATTATTTAATTGTTGTTAGTTTTATAAATTTTTTATTTTTTAACGAAATTTCTTTTCGCTTTAATTTCTCCCGCGACAGCAGTGACGAGCAAATTTAACTGTATTTTGAAGAGGCATCCGCGTTACCAGCACACATTAGCAGCCTTCGATTTGATGATTGTTTGAATATAATTTGATTTTTAATATCTTAAATATTAAATTAGCAAAACTAATTTCATTCAACAATGTTTTTCCTTAAATGCTAACTGTATTTTCGAACTTGAAACCAAATGCAACATATTTTCATTTTTACCTAGCTTTTTATTGAATTAATGCTTATGCATACATATAATAAATATATATTTTCAACTTTGGTAAAAATGTGCTTAATTTTTCTTTTTCATTAAATTCATTTAATGCTGCTTTCAATATAAAAAAACTACGCTGCAAATATATATATATATATATATTAATTTTTTTTAAATAATTACTACACTCTTTCGCCGAATTGCCCAATCTTCTAATTCTATATTCTTTAAGTACAACTTTGTGTATATGTATGTATTTAATATATTTAAATTACCCAATCTGTTGGGTGCAACAATTTCATACAAAAAAGCTTAAAATTTACTTTTTTGCATTTTATACATACAAGCTAACGGGTTTTAATGCAATCGCGGTGATTTTATAATTATCTTCACAATCTAATCTTAAGTGTTTGCATATAAATTTTTATTTTGACGTACATACATATGTATATATTTTCATCTTTAGGCAAAAAAAATTTTGCGCCAAACAGTATTGTGCAATAAAATAGCAAAATAGGGTTTTTAAAGTAAATTTACCAAAAAAAAAAAAATCAACGCTATATAGACTCGTTGAGTACTCTTATTTATTTTTTTTAAATTAAAGTTTTAAATATTACAGTTTCTCTGCTTAACAGAAAGGGAATTCAGTTCTTCAGCGGTTTCTGTTAAGACATTTTTTGAGTTAATAGAACTTTCTTTGACGTTTGCTTTTAACAAACAAATTTTTGCTAATATTTTATATACTTACAAGTATGTATGTGTATGTGTTAAAAGATGTAAAATACTGTTATTTTACTACAAAACTATGCATGTATGTATATGCATTTGGTTTATAAAAAATGTTCAACAATTTCCAATCAACAACTAATCTAACAACATTTAACGCTTATGTGTATATACAAACATACAAATGGTCAATTACGCATATATTATATGATTGATAAAAGCTTCTTGCGCTGGTTAGTTATATAACGCGTTTATATTTACTTATATTTAGTGTATATATAAAGATTACAACAATGCCAATATTTTTTTATTTAATTAAGTTTTCTTCTCTTCCTTTTTTTTGTAGAATTATCCAAGCCCAGTAGTGTTTTAATTATTATAAACTTTTTTATGAGTACGCAATCATTGCAGCTAAAATTAAATAAATTTTTTATAATTTTTGTGGCTGATTAATTTGTTTAAATTAAATTTGGTATTTGTAAGATTTTTACTCTTAATTTTTTATAATTAAAATTTTCTGACAATTTAATTTTTTTTTTGGTTTAAATAATTATTTCAGTTTTTTATTCGGTAATTTATTCTTGTTTATATAATGATTTTAAATAATTTATGCAATTATAAGTAATAGGTACAGACGGTGAGTTACAGGTCACTAAAACTATGGTGGTATTGAAGATTTGGATTTATTTATTTTTAAACATTTTTTTTTTCAATCGCTCTAAATTAACTTTATATGTATACTCGCGAAATGGGATCTGGCATCTCTTCAAAATAATTAGTATTTCTAAGTATTTCTCAGCGAAATATCTAATCAAATCAACAGACTGCATATTTTCATAACAATTCCAGCTCAGAAAAGAGAGTTATAAGGAAACTTCAAGTTCAAAGGGGCCGGCCCTTATGTATACGGCTGGCGCTTGCATTTCTAGTAAGTGATTAGGTTGGAAATAAAGGTCAATTGTTTCGCCTACTTTTTTTCTTTTTAGAAATATTGACAATTACAATTGACACATCACAAATCTTATATATATGCTTAAGTTTTGCTTATAATTTTAGAAAATCACAATGAGCGTCATTTTCTTCGCATCTTTATCGTCAGAAAACATTTTTGTACCCTCTGTAGATGATATTTTTTATAATAAATATATGTAAATCAACTTTTAATTTTTTTATTTATTTTATTATTTTTATTTCATTCATTTAATTTTATTATTTTAATTTCATTATTTTATTTATTATTATTATTTTTTATTTTGTTATCTTTTCTATTTTAAATTACTTGTTTTATATTTTTTATATTTTATTCCAATTATTTATTTTTTAATAACTTTTATTTTTTTGGATTAATTTTTTTTAGTTTTATTCCAACTTTTTTTGATTTTATTTTGTTTTGTCCTTTTTAGCACAATTTATAGATTTTTAAAAATTTTTGATATTACTTAAATCAATTTTATTTTATTTTTTATTCCAATTTTTTGTTATTTATTTATTTTACAACTTTTTTCTTTTACTTTGTTTATTTTACAATTTTTTTTTTTTACTTTGTTTTGTTTTAATTTTTTAATTTTGTTTTACTCTTACTAATTTTTATTTAATTTTATTATTTTTATTTCTTTTTAAATTATTTTAATTTCTTTTACTTTATTTTGAATTACTTTATTCAGTTTTATTTTAATTTATTTTAGTTTATTTTATTTTATTTTTATTTTATATTTTTAGTCCATATTTTATTTATTTTTTTTCAATTTATGTTTTTTTATTCTGCTTTATATTAATTTATTATTTAATTTTATTATTTTTATTTCTTTTTAAATAATTTTAGTTTACTTTATTTATTTTTATTTTATATTTTTAGTCAATTTTTTATTTATTTTTATTCAATTTATGTTATTTTATTTTGTTTTATATTAATACAAAACTTATATTAATAAATATTAATAAATTTATATTGTATTTTATGCAATAATCAAAGTAATTTAATCTTTCTGTTTTGAATTTTTTATTTTATTTTAAGTTATTTTTTTTTATTTTTACATTCATTTTATTGCTTTCATTTTGTTTTAAGTTATTTTATTTTAAGTTAGTTTTGTATTATTTTAATTTTGGTATTTTTACCGCACTATTTATTTTTTTAATAATACTGTAGTTTGTATTTTACTTTTTTGAATTATTTTGGATTACTTTATTAGATTTTATTTTATTTATTTTTTATACTATATTTTTATTCCATTTTTCTTTTATTTATTTTTTCAATTTATGTTATTTTATTTTATAATTATTTATTCTTTATTTCACCACTATTTATTTTATATTTATTATTTAAACTAATTTTTCTGTTGTGAATTTATTATTTTATTTTATTTTGGTTTATTTTAAATTTATGTAATTGTTTTTATTTTATTTTGTTTTATTGTAGTTTCCTTTGCTTTTATTTTTATTTTGCCTTATTTATTGGAATTAATTAATTTTTTAATATTTAAGTATTATTACTTAACTTTAGTTTTTTATTTGAATTATACAATATGATTTAATTTCTTAGTTCATATTTATCTTTTTTTTGCTTTTTTTGATTTGTTTTATTCTACTATATTTTATTTTTCTTATTTAATATAATTTATTTTTTTAGTTTATTTTATTTGCTTTATTTTTTTAGTTAAGCTTAATTTTAATTTATTTAATTTTATTTAATTTAATTTTAATTTATGTTTATTTTACTTGTTTTAGTTTATTTTGTAATTTTGTTTAACTGAATTCTCTTTAATTTTATTTTTTTACTTGATACTTCGTCTTATTGAATTTATTTTTTAACTAGTTTTAAGCATTTAATTTAATTTTCCTTTAGTTAATTTTATTTCAATTAAATATTTAAATTTTTTCGATTCTTGTTTCATTTAATCTTTTGTTTTATTTTATTCTAGTTTATTTTATTTTATTTTAACATATTTGTTTTAGTTTTTATTTTTTAGGAATCTTTTTTATTTAATTTTCATGATTTTATTTATTTATTATTTTCTTATTTTTAGTTTATTTATTTTTTAATTGATTTCAATATTTTGTTGAATTTGATATAAGCTACTATTTTTTATTTAATCTCATATTATTTTAATTGAATTATATAATTCCTTTACATTTTTATAATTAATTTTTCAATTTTTATTTATTATCGTATTATATTACATATGTATGTTACTACAATATATTTCATTTTTTATAAAAGTTATTTTAGTTTTTATTTTTGTTCTTAAATATTTTATGTTATTTCAAAATAAGATTATTTATATTTGTATTTTATTATTTAATATTATTATTTTTTTTCATTTTTATATTTTATATTTTTTGAGGTATTATTATTAATTTTTCAGTTTATAAATTTTACGTATTTTTTATTTTACTTGAATTCATTTTTTTGTTTTATTTTATATGATTTTTATTATAATTGTTATTATAGTGTATTTCTTTAATTTTTTTTTATTATTTTATTTTTATTTTATATTATTTTACTATTTCATTTTAATATTTTTTTTAAATTTTATTATATATTTTATTTTATTTTTTTTTTATTTACTATTGTATTATATTTTGATTCACATTTTTTGGTATTAATGGGTATAATATCCTTTATAATTTTTTTGTTTTTGCGGTTAAGCTTTCAACAGTAATATTTTTTTCATAAGTCTAAATTTTTACCAATTTTATTTCAGCTATAGTAAATATGTATGTATTTTGCTTATCTACGTCTAAGAAACAATATATTAATTAGTAAGATTGTACAAAAAATATGTATGTATGTACTTATTTCTACTGTTATAGGTAAATATATGCATACATACACACGTTTAATTGCTTTGAGTTTCAGAAAATTCTATGCTAAATACAAGCTAAGCGCACGAAAAATGCACTATTGGTTGCTCTGAAGCCAATAGTCAATTAACAATGTTCCAGGAATCCGTTATTTATCTAAATAGCAATAAAGAAAATCGCTTTGGCTTTAGGCATAAAATTTAAGGAACCTAATACGAAGCCTTTAGTTTGCTATGCACCCCGAATTATGTTTCAGTATGCTATGTATATATATGTATATATGTATGTACAACACACTTATTACATATATCTTTAAAATATAGTAAATCGGTAAAGCTACGCAGAGCTGATTTTCGCATTTCACTAGGTGTACAGCATATTGATTGAACCAATTTTTATCCTTGCGTTGCGCCATTGTTAGGCCTTACAGTTATTTCACCTCTTCTGCTGTTGTTGTTGTTGCTTTTTAACGACTGTAGCAGCCCTATAAAATAAATTTAAGAATAATTGAGTATATATCAATAGTTTTGCGCTCTTACTCACCTCCGCACACCGTGTCGCGGACTAACTGGCGGCGTGCGCACAGGCGATGGCGGCGCCGAGCTACCCGAAGATGTGCGCGACGAAAGCGATAGTGTAGAGTTGCGCGGCGCCGAGCAACCCAAATAAATTGCCGAACCTTTATCGGGATCGCGCAGATCCACGCGCGAGCCATGGACGGACGATGGCACCGAGCCGGGCACTTTGCCAGTGTAGGCATGCAAGCCAGCCGGGCTGCTGTACGGCCGCACCGCCAGCCCGCTTACAGTGCTGGCGCTGCGTTGTAGTGGGGCTTGTCCATTTGTGGTTCCACTACCACTACCGCCAGCACCACCAGCACCACCACTGACACTTCTCGTTGCCGTGCACTTGCCCATATCGTCTTGTTGTGCTGCCACCGCTGCAGAGGCAGCAGCACGCGCCTTGGCCGAACCGCTTATTAAACGACCACCAGCACTGTTTACTCGCGGGTTACGCATGCGTGCAGTTGGTGGTGACTTTTGCATTGCCTCGCGTTCACGTTTCGCATCATTGATGGCGGCTGTATATTCCGCAGCCTCTTTCGAACTGCTTGCCGTCGCTATTAACGGCGACAACGCTACGGTGGCGTTGGTGGTGTTTGTAGAGTTGGTGGTGTTCGTGGTGTTGTTTGGTGTATTTAACGTGGTGGTCGTGTTACTACTACTGCTGTTGTTGGTGGTTGTCGTAGTTGTGTTATTGATTTGTGCCGTTACGATTGTTGTAGTTGCCGCTGTTGTTGCGCCTGTTGGTGTTGTTGGGCTTTTTGCCTCTTCGTCCTCGGGTATCTTTTGTGCGCCCAGCGAGCGTCGTGTTGTTGCCGAATGACTCGGTGAAGTCGGACATGACTGGGCGAAATTGGTAGCAATTACATTGGCGACACCCGCGGCGGATATTGAGGGTGACGCCGAAGCGCTCGACGAAGTGGGTTGACCGCGCAGACGAGAACGTGTCGACGCTGAAGAGGGACGACGACGAAAGAGACCCTTCGAGGGATCCATATTACATACACCTATTTTTGGATATAAAGGAAAGAAAAACCGTGAGCAAAAGCAAGTCAAGGGTAAAAACAAAATAGAAAATTCAGTTTAAAAATCGACGTGGTAGGGCATCGACTGCAGTTACATTTTATTATAAAAAAAAATTCGTTAAATTATAGTTCAGAGTTCAAGTCAATGTCAATAGTACTATTATAGAGTGGCTTATTTTTGTTAGTTCTTTCAGCGTTTTCAGCGCCAAACGCATGCGGTATGAAGAGGGGTCCACTATTTACATATATCGGATGAAAATATATAACATTCTCCATTAACTGCTGGCCAACTTGGCTATCTTCGAATGATACCTCATCTGATACATCGTCACCTTCAGTATTAAGTTTGTCCTCAACTGCATTTGGCTTCGCATTCGCACGTTGCTCTTGAGTGGTGTTTAGTGCTTTTACTTCACCTTCACCGTCAGCTTCATCATCATCTTCATCGTCGCCTTTCTTTAAACCACTTTCATCCACTGCAAGTATTTTCCACTTCTCCGCCGCAAACGAAATCATATAAGCCGTATTTTTATTGGCAGCCGCTTGCGATGTGCCCTCACTACCACTTGTACCACTCAGTTCATTGACAGTCGCACCCAAAGGTAACACTAGCATCGCACCTGTTGGACATTTTTCGCCACGCGTACAATTCCCTTCGCATATATCACGATTCTGCAACAGTTCCTGATAGTTATCCAATGCCGCCGAGCACTTTGATCGATCCAGTTGTTCCAAAGCCGTAGAAGGATAACGTTCACGCAAACGTTTACGTTCCTCAACCAAACGATACATTTCGAATTCTTGCAACTGTGTCTGGAAACCGATATTCGGATTGGCAACAGCGCGTCCAGCGCGCACAACTTTCAGTGCTTCCTTCCAACTCAAGTTGGTGGCGGTCATTATATAGGCCACCGCTACAGTAACGGAACGTGACATACCAGCCAAACAGTGAATGAGTACATTGCCCTCCCGCAAACGTGCGGCATGTATGAAGTCATTACAAACGGAAAAATATTGCGATAAATTCTGGTCTGGTGTATCGGCAGCCATAACGCACAGATAATGTTTGTCCTAAAGAAGAAAGTTGTACACATTTAATAAGTGATTTAAATTAGCGAAAAGTCATCAATAGCTTACCGGCAGCAGACGCCGTGGACTATCGTGTATTGCTATTATATGTGTGATCTGATGCTTGTCCAGCTGCTGTTGATCCTTGGAATCGCGATAATTGCCCACATAGAGGCCAGGCAACACCTAAAAGGATAAGAGAAAGAAGTATGCGTGAAAAAGAAGTAAGCGTACCAGAAGCCTGCCAGAAGCTGTATGCTGCTTGCCATGTTCATGTGCCAATCCATGCTATTTAAAACCTCGACGCCTGCAACAACGTTAATTATGCACTAATAATTGAAACAAATTAATTTTAATTTCTTTTTCATTCTTTTAAACATTTTGCACAAATAAATTTTCGCCAATTGTTGTTTGTCGTTGCCATAACAACAGCAGTTTATTTGCTACAGAACAGCTGTTTTTTTGTTTACATATGGCTTACGATATCTAATGAGCCTTTCACGAATGCTGAATCGGCAAGAGCGTACGATTTCTTGTGTCTTCCCTTTTTAAAGCACAGATGGCGCCAAAAACGTTATTTAAAATAGTGACTAAAATAGAAAGTGGTCTGGTGAACAAAACCAACATTGCTTTTAAAACCAATTGTATTGAAAAAATTTCGTTTTGAATGTTTGAAGAGTTTAAAATAAATTTAAGAATTAAAAATTAAGCAACCAGACAGACAAATCTCTTGCAGTAAACAATTAATTAAACATTTTTTCGTTTCGAAGTTTCAATGACAGCTCAGACTCACCTTGTTCATGCCATTTCCCATATTGCTTCATTTAATTAATGCCCACCAACCAATCACGTTGAAAATGTAAAACTTTTTCGTTTTGATTTCTTAAGAATTCAACAAATCAAAGTTCAACAGCGCCAAACTGCAAGAAAGAAAATGAGACGTATGAATTATTGTTTATGTCCAAATTCTTTGTTAATTTAAATTTTGAAAACAGGAAATTTGTTCTTTTTAAAATATTTTTTTTTTACAGCGAGGCAAAAAAGGAGTCACAAATTTTAAAAGTCTTCAAAATTATTATAAGAATAGAAGGAACTGAACAAAATTTATCTTAAAAATGCAACATTGTGGGAACAACAACAAGTTTACTGTTCATTTGGTTCTCTGCCGATCCGTTATTTCAATTAAGAGCATCGCATTAGCTTATTTCAAGGTCAAGTTGGAAGGAAAAATATTAAAAAATAATTGAGTTTGTCATATAATGACAATTCGGAAGTGGAATGTATTGATACCTAACAAGGCTCTCGAAAACAAAGTGAAGCTTGTGATTTAATAAAATCAAGAAGTTTGTGTTGAATACATAAGACGTCGATGATAGTCGACGAATCAGTAATTTCGATGTTATATAAGTCTCCGCAAAAATATTTCCAGAGTTGCAAAAGCTACTGACTATTAGTTGGGTACCCATACCCATTCAGAAAATCAGAAAATCTTTTACTTAAATTACTGCCAAGGCCACCACCCGAAAGGGTACAGTGGGCTGACAAGGACGAAGAAACAACTTTCTCGTCTGGATTAATAACCGGCTGACACAACTATTTCCCAGAGCCAGTAGTGATGTACCGATTGTCCCATTGATTTGTTAGTTGAAAGCGTGAAATTGAGGCAGCATCTAAGCCATTGAGTAGGCTCATTGTGTTCCTCCATGAATCCCAACTAGGCGATTGCGAGCTAGGAAATTGCGATTTCGGAGTGGGAGCTGGGAGCATCGTGGAAGATACGACATCTCAATCGGCTGTGGGCCGGACATTCGCAAAAGTCCAGCTCTAGCGTTGCGTCATGTTAGCTTGAACAAGAGTTCCGATTGAGAGGCATTGATGGGGATTTATGGTAAAATAAGAAAATGCCACAGCAGATTCCGAAACTTAAGCACCATTCTGAACTCAGTTTTGTGCTCAGAATGACTGCTGAAAACTAAGCCTTAGTTTCCAGACTTAGCCGAGTTTCCTGCTGAAGAGAACGAGCTCCATCCTATTAGAGTTAACACAGAGTCCAAGGCGGATTTGACAACAACGGCACCTTGCGAAGCATCCCTTGCAAAATCTCACATAAGATTTGTGGAAACTCGTCTTTGCATGTTACAGCTGTGTCAGCTCTTTTTTCTCTGCCTGTTCGAAGTGAGTTCAACGTGAGATTCTAGGTCATGCAACACCGCTCTGAAATGTATTACTGTTGCATTATCTGGATGCCCGAGATCTCCCAACACTACCGTTCATTGTTCTACATTGTTGTAGTCGGATTAATGAAGTGCACCAACTGATTTTCCACACCTAAGTTGTTGAAAGCTCGCTCTATTTCCAAGAAAGCGACGTGCTGGTATTACTTATTATACGCGTAAAGGGGGTTCACAGTGAATAAAACCAGTCTGTTCAGTGTGTAGCTTCTGTTGAGTTCACCTTTTGGTATGCATGCTGGTCATCGGTCGCTCGATTGGGAGAGAATGTTAAATTTGACTCTTTCTAGTGTTTCAAGTGACTTATTGGTTTGAGAATATTTGGATTGCTGTGAGAGAACTTTCCGACCTTATGGATCAATACCACTGGCACTCGCGTCCCTGGTAAAAAAATGTAGTTAAAATCAAAAAAACACTCCAAAATCGGCTTGAGTCTGGTACCTCTAGGCTAGACATGACTCAAACCAATTTGCATAACTACAAATGGAAGACACTAAAATTTTAAACGCTGCCCACATATTGACGCCAGAGGTGTGAGCAAGCAAAGGTTACAGGCTCGAGTGACCACACGTAGTGTGATTGTACATAAATCAAAGTGCAATGTGAAAGCAGTTCCATTTATATTTTTTAATATTTTTTGATGCCCCCTACGTCCAACGGCTAAAACTATGCACACTTTATTTGATTGCCACATGAATGTCACATGAATTTATTGAAATTGCTTGAATTACGAGCGATTCGGTTGGCACTCAAGCCAAACCACACGGCGCCCGCTTTGACACTGTCTTGCGCTCGTCTGATAGGTCTTCTCGGCACTATGACGTCATTGCAGTAGAGTTGCTTGCAAATATCGTGCGTCTTACCCCACCCCATGCTCATTTCACCTTGACAATGCGGCAGCAGCGCCGAGTAAAACTTATTATGTCGCTAGCGCCTGAAAATATGCAATCACAAAATAATTTGGCAACAGTTAAATAAAATTGTTCTTGTTTTGTTGCTTTTTTGTTTTCTATGAACAATTGCCGGTACCAGCGCTATAAAATCAATAAGAATTGCACTCGTGTGGATAATCAGCTGGCTGTGTCAGTGTGTGTGTGTGTGTGTCTGTAGTGAGGGGGGGGGGTCAAATGCAAACAAAAGGACAATGAATATTGTAAAAAAAACTTGCAAGTACCGACCTGACTTGGCAAGCCTCCGGTTGTATTTTAGCATAGCATACTTTGCGGGGCACACAAAGGCCAAATACAAAGCTGCTGATAGTAGATTTAAGCACTCGTGACGACGATGTGCGGCATTAAAAGCGCTTGTATGTGCTGACATTGCTGCTGTTTTTTTATTATTTTTATACTTATTTTTCGTCATCATTGTTTGGCCTTTTGTTTCGCTCATACACACACAAATACATACAAATGCAAATGAAGAGTTGTTGTCCTGGTAGACAGCAGTTGCTTGCTATAAACAGAATTGCCAAATGTTAACCTACATTAAGGCGCCCACTTCCGTTGGCATTGCAATATAAATACATATATATGTAAATAGAAATATTCTTTAACTGTAACTACATACATACATACATACATTAACATATAATATATACAAAATTGGAGCGCCTCCTAAGCGGACTCAACAGTTTGTTGACAGTTTCACTTGTAGTCTATCTACATAACCTTGCTTTAGTTGGTGGCATAGTTTTAGGCGCTGGCGTACGCCACTACAACCCCTACATATATACACATGTGCACAGCTAATTTAAAGGTCGACATATGTTGCCAAAAGCGTTGCCATACAAGGCGTTGTTAGGTTGAGATTAAGTTACGAGCAAGACACACACACACACAATGGATTTAGCTGCTTGGGAGTAGGGCTGACTTGAAGAGCGTGACTTATGAAAGTTCGCACTTACACGGCAGAGTAGTTGATTAAGCTTCGAGTACTTCAGATTGAAGACGGCTCCAGTGATTGTACACGGACAATTATGGCATCCGTTTAATCTAACCATATGCACGCACCTCCGTAAGCTTAGATTAGGTAGCGCCGTGAAGGATGTGAAGTCCTAAACTCGTAAAGATACTTCTCCAGCATTCTGCCTTACTCTGTGCATGCTTTGTACTCAGGCGATTGCACTTTATTTAGCTTGTGGGGATGATATATCAAGGGTAGATGCCCCGTCAGTACAGTCACTGTTGTACTAGGTTCTCGTTTGGTTAACAGTTCGATCTGTCTACAATCCACACTCTCCAAGAATAGAATTTAGTAGTACGCCCTATGGTGGAAGTGTTCCAGGACCTTAAGTGTTTCTCTATGATCTATTTCTTTCGAAAACAAATGAAGGTGCTGAAAGGTCTGTGCAAGACGGCTTTACCGCCTTTTCATTGTCTTCTACATCCGAGACCCAAGTGATATCCACTTGCTTCTACGCATTTGTACTTTGTGTTGAAAGACTAAATTTTCTTAATAGTCGCCAGACTGTCTACGAAAAACCTGATCGATCTGCTATTGTTGTTGTTACAACCGCAAAATTATTCGCCAAAGTAGTTCTTGGAGAATAATGCGACAGTGTCAGTCCGTAAAATGTAAAAATCTGGGTTTTTCCAATATAAAGACCCCGACTCTGGCGATGAACTAGTGGCTTTTGTCGCCTCTTACGATAGCCATGCCTTGCCATGGATAAATTCTTGAATCCCTAACCCGCAGAGGATATCGTTCTGATCGATTTGCCTGTTACAGCGGTTCCCCTTTCGGCAGTTTGTATAATCTCCACAATCTCTACTTGGCGGACTGAGTTGTGGTCATTGAATTTGAAGCTACCTTGTTTATAGGCGTAGCCACAGAAGAAGAAAATTGCCTCGCGTTGAGACCCATCCGTGTAGATATAAATATCTTCATTGTTACCGATGGGTCCACCTTTAATCCATTTTAACCTCCTCCGGATGGAGCCTTTAACCGGCAGAAGGTTTCAGTTCCTCGGTCGCATTTTAGTCCGAATTCATATATAATACTTTTTATGCCCTGTTTTCTACAATTGGCGGAATGTACCCAGTTTCTTTGAACAATTAGAGGGCTGCTTCATACAAAGCTTGTATATTAATTGGCATAATGTCGAAGGTGACTTCTAGAGCTTTGCTTAAGGTAGTCCTCACCGCAACTACTATGCCAAGTATACAGGTCCCTTGTAACAGCTCCAAAGGCTTAAGGTGGCACTACTTCATTAATGTCGTCCATTGCACCAGCGTTCACATGTTACTACGGATCTAATGACACTTGTGTAAAGCCGAAGCGGCGTGCCCATATTGGTTCAAAGGGTCTTTCATGGGTTTGCCACACTCGGCGTGCTTTGGTGGTCCTCTTTTGGGCGTGATTCCTCCAGCTGATGTTTTGGTCCAAGGCCTAAAACGCAGCGGGATTGTCCGCATAGACTTTAGACTTTACATATCCCACGATCTTGGTGCCCAATCGACCGGCCCAAAACGTGAAATTATCTGCTCAACGAAGTATTCTCTCAATAAATCCATTGTTGCGGTGGTTGGTAGCCATTGTATCGTTCTCAACGGCATCATATTTTATGGCCCGATGATTACGCCGGCCCACAAACCACACCGAATCGTCATTTTTTCTGGATGAAATGGCAGCCTTTGAATCTTTTCAGGTTGCTCTTCATCCCAAATGCGATAATTTTGCTAATTTACTTACCCATTGAGCCTGAAATGGGCCTCTTTGCTGAACGAAATTCTTCTTGGACCTTTTCAAGAGTTGATAGTGCGATGTCGTGCTGGAAAATTGAGCCGC